ATTATACAGGATTATACAACAAAAATTCGCGTTCAGACCCATTCGGATGCATTAAACCGAAAAACACATCTGATTGGCCAGAAAAGTCACATAACTGATTCAGTTTAGTTTTTGAACGAAATTTGGATGAGATGCGAAATTCAGAAACGGAAATTCGGACTCGAACACTTTCAGATGCATTGAGAGTCGGAAATTCGGATGTGCCCTGAATTTTGATTCGGAACGAAACGAATCGAGCATGTCTAATTTATAACAGCCCCCTCACTTTTGCTGGGGCTGATCTACTGAAAAGTGCAGGCGTTACCCCTAACAGCCAATCAAGGGTTTGCCCCCCCCTACCCCCCCCCTTCCTCTTGTTCTAACTACATTTTCACAGATTTTTCCACTCACCTATTTTTTAACTCTTTCTCCCGCAGGCCTCTGAGCTTGGTATGACGTCTGCCCACTACAAATATATTCTGACAACAATGGTAAGATGACAGTTCTAGATAAAGGGGAGGATATAAAGGGTTTTTTTTTTTTTTGGAGTGTTTGGAGTGAATTAAAACGATGCAATTGTTTTATAAAGAGCAATTAAATAATTTGACAAGCACCGGGAATACAAAGAGAGTAATAGATCCGAAGAAAACAAGGTTTTATGAAGACAGCAAAGAATAAAATAACATTTTAATGGGAGGAAATTTCCAATAAATGTTTTTGCCGTAGAAGAACTAGATAAAGGGCAGTCTGAAAAAGAAACTTCAGGCACATTGAAGTGAAGCAAAATAATTTGGTGAGCTACAGTCTTTGAAATGCAGCAACTGCACTACTGTCAAGATCCTATCCATCCTTTAGGATATCATTCACTATAATTTCACTTTGCCATATTGAAGAGGGGTTTCAGATGGCCTCGGCTCAGGATTGCAGCCTCAATGGTTCTTTGTAATGCAAAAAACAAAAACGATCTTCCGTATACTGTAGAACAGAAAAGCTGCACAACAGGTATTAAATAGACAGAGGGAGCGCCAATAAATTTTGTTAAACACGATCAATGTCATTCATTAGTAAAAGTTTTGGGCAAACCCCGCACCCAACTCCTCTATAGGAGTTGTTTGTAATTCTTTGTAATGCAACCCCTCCAATAGCAGGGGCGTCCCAAGGCTGGGTGTCACCTGGAGCGGAGACCGGGTGAGACCCCGCCGCGTGCACGATAACGTCATCGCGCAGGCATGGTTGTCTTATTGACGCCTGCCGGTGGCCATCTTGGTGATGGACGCGGGCAGAGAGAGGAGGGGAGGTATGCAGCCGGCTCCCCTCCTCTCTCCTGACACTATTGGGCTCTCGGTCTGTGACCGACTGCCTGACTTTTCATAGGGAGTGACAGCAAAAAGTCAGTCATTTTGGTGTCACCCCTCCAATGGTGGCACCCGGGTGCGGCCGAACCCCCCTGTGACGCCACTGCCAATAGATCTACAGTCCATAGATCGTAATGGGGTGGAGAACAGGAGTAGATGCTTTCTACAGAAAAAAATGTCCATAATTAAAGTGTATGTCTAGCCAAAATTATTATTTTAGTTTTGGATTAATCAGAGGAATCTGCACGCGGAGACATTAAAAAGGTGCAGATTTTCCCTCATTTCCTGTCTAGTGAAACCATTGTAACTGGGAGAAGGTGAGGGGAAATCTCGCTAAGTGGAGCGCTGAATAGCAAAATCGGAAAGGGGTTCTAACACTTCCCCAATCTACCTAAAACGAAAACATTATTGGCTGGACATTAAAGTGACTCAGTCATAAGGGAATAATGGAGGTTGTTATTGCTGACATCAGCTTTGAGAATGCTATATCAATGAATGTTGTGATGATACTTTTGCTTTAATGCTCTGTGAGTCACTGAACCAGAACAAGTATAGAGATAAGCATTTCTGAAGCATGCTTATTCTGAGACTGTAAATTAAAAGTACAATCACAGCTTGAACGTTTTTTAGAGGGCGGCCAGAAATGGCATCCCCCATAGCTCTTATGGCATTGTCACTTTAACTAGTCTTGTATGTCTTGTACTAGTCTACATATGGCAAAAAACAGGGTATGTGTAGCATGTTCTATCCTCCCCCCACTGCCTCTCCTTGCGATGCATTTACAGGAATTTTCATTCATCTGTAGAACAAAGGGAGCTTTGATCTGCATATGCTGTCAGTTAAAGCAACTTTTCTTTATATATAATTTGCTCATGTTTAGCCCTTTATTATCCTTTTGTTAACCCATTAACCCTGACAAGCCCTAATTAATTCTGTCATATATATTTTATATTCATATTATATTATTATATCTATATAATTTCTAATATATAGATTTTAAAACTGTTAATATTTTGGTTTTGTTCATTTTGTGTATTCATATTTATGGGGGGGGGATTCCATTAAAAATATGAGCAACATTGGAAAATTTGTTTGTAAATATCTTTGCATTGCTTTGTAACAGACACCTTATTGTGCTGTCATCAATAGGACAAAATATAGCATAACATTTATACTATTTTGCTACAGTAACACGCTTTTTTCCTATTTTGACAGTGGTGAAAATAGCAAAAGGTGTGTTGTAGCGTTTCTCTTTATATCTTTTTGTCTGTACATTGTGCAGAAAATACAATGGAGGGGATTTATCAAAACAGGAGCAGGCAGAATCTGGAGCAGCTGTGCACGTCAACCAATCAGCTTCTCTGTTTAATTTCCAAATCTTCACTGAGCAAACTGAAGAGAGAAGCTGATTGTTTGCCATGCACAACTGCTCCAGTTTTTGTCTGCTACAGTTTTGATAAATTCCCCCCAATATCTTTTCCAAGATGATATCACTAAAAGAAAGCCTTGTCTGTCCTTCAAAAATACATTCATTACTTATTATTATTAATATTATCTTAGGATATCACCAGGGGCGTAACTAGAAATCACAGGGCCCCATAGCAAAATTTTGTATGGGGCCCCGTGATTGCTAGTCATGCCACTTGCAGAGCCCCAGCGGAGAGTGACCCTGCAGAGCCCGCCATAGACTCTCTATAGTGGGCTCTGCAGGGTCTGAGATCTCTTACCTGTCAGCGCCTCTGTGGTCGCCGGGCTCCGACTCCTGTTCCGTCCCCGGGCCCCGCCTCCTCTGCTATCGACAGGCCCCGCCTTCTCTTACATCACTGGCCCCACCTGCTCTTAGGTCGCTGGCCTCCATTCCGAACACTGCCTTCATCTGCCGCAGCGGCTGGCTGTCACTGACACAGCTCCGCAACGGCTATGAGGGGAAATGCGCCGTGGCCGCTGCTGAGCTGTGTCTGTGACAGCCAGCAACCCACATGCCATAGCGACCCATAGCGTCCCATAGCCCCCCTGTTTCCGGGCCCCATAGCGGCCACCTGGGTCGCTATGGCGGTTGTTACGCCACTGGATATCACCATTTAAACAGCTTCTTAGGAGAAATGTAAAACTTCCTCTGGTCCTAAAGGGTTTTACAGGTACAAGAGCTGAACTGATTAAACAGCAAAACTTACATTGCGTAGACACTTTGCAGAATTCTTAGCCTGCAGGCTGAGAAGAAACAGACAATTATGTATAGCAAGGCTCATTTGTGTAGAAAGTCATTGCCAGAATAAAAAAACAAAAGCCCCTGGGAAGCTGGCTGTGTAACTCTTTGTGTATTATCTTTACACTTTTTGTAACGTGACTGGCGCATGCCTTTTATATGATACTTTTTCCATCAGTGGTAAGTTTTAGTCTGCAGATCCTTTGATAAGAATTCCTTCCAGTCGGCCATTGTGAGCAGGGAGCGTATCAGAATCCCCTGGCTGGCTCGCCACTTACACAGAAACGTTTGATGTCTTATGCAGATATCTAAGGAGTGACGACAAGAAGATGAACGCTTGCTACTAAGTTCTTGGTTTATAACAAAAAAATAAGAAATCTTTTTTTTTTTGGCGCAAAAATGGTAACAAATTAAAACAATTCACTCAAATGTTATTAAGCACAGCCTAGGGATGTCCAGATGCCACTTTTTTAAGACCAAGTACAAGTAATTGCCCTCAGGTATTTGCAGATACAAATTACCGATACTATTTCTTATTGGGACATGTGACATTTTTTCTAAAACAACACAGACTGATGATTTTAGGGCAGTTTCTCACCAGAGCTAAATAAAGATGTCGCCAGAAATGAATACATGACCCCACAGCGGAATACAAGTCCATGTCCCCACAGCGGAATACAAGACCATGTCCCCACAGCAGAATACAAGTCCATGCCCCCACAGCAGAATACAAGACCATGTCCCCACAGCAGAATACAAGACCATGTCCCCACAGCAGAATACAAGTCCATGTCCCCACAGCAGAATACAAGTCCATGTCCCCACAGCAGAATTATTCTCACCAGGCTGCATGCTGATCTCTCCCGGGTGACATGTCAATCTCTGCAGGGCTCTGCGGGCAGTTCCTATGCTGTGGAGTGTGCCGATGTCCGGGGCTGTACTGTGCTGAGTGTGGGGCTGTCCATGGCTGTGCCTCAGCTGGGAATGAGGAGGAGGACATATACAACCGGACAGGCACTGCCATGGGCAGCTACGTGCAGGTGCCAGCAGGCTGCCGAGGTCCTCACAAGCGTGGGAACTCGGACGGCCACTGCGATTTGAAAATTTAAAGGGCCAGTATCGGCCTTAAGAATCGTGGCATTTTCACGAGTACAAGTACTCGTGAAAACGCCTGGTATCGGCCCCGATACCGATACTAGTATCGGTACCAGGACATCCCTAGCGCAGCCACATGTTACATCTAAACACTTTAATACAGAAATAACAAATGTACACTGAGTGGCCAGATTATTATGACCACCCCATCAGTACTTTGTTGGGCCACCTCGTGACTCCACGAGATGTTGAAAGGTGATGCGAGGAATCTGACACTGCACTGTTGCCCTTCTGTTGTCTTGTACCAGTCTTGCCACTCTCCGTTCTGCCCTAACATTGACTAGTCGCTGACGGCCACAATTCGCACGTTCAGACCCAGATTTTCGGCTGACAGTCTGGTCTTTAAACACTTTAACAACAGCTGCTCTTGAACATTTAATGAATTCTGCTGTTTTGCTGATACTCGCTCCATGGCTCCGAGCGCCAACAATCATCCCACGTTCAAAGGCTGTTAAATCGCGTTGTTTCCCCGTATCTTCAGAAACAAATCACTTCTACTGTCGTGGTAAACAACCTGCTTCCCTATTTATAATGGTCTGGCCCTCTAGCAACTTCAGCGCGAAATTATAGCTAATTATAGATAATTTGCCTACAAACATCCGGTGGTCATAATAATCTGGCCACTCAGTGTATAACTGAATTGTCTTACCTGCAAAAGATCTGTAGTTCTGCTCAGCCAGTCTTGTCATCTAGAAACCTCTATCAGACGGCACAGTCAAGTGAGTCCACATACCTTGCCGCACTCCTTACCGGATATCCCAGAAATAACAGCTGCTTGTAATGACTGCAGATGGCGCCGCTCAAAACACATGCAGATGTCATCAGCACTCCAGCACAAAGATTCACATCAGTGCAAATCCACTTTTATTGATAGATGTCATGAAGACAAGCACTTTCGGGCACCGCGCTCAGTTATTGAGCCTGATGAAGGGGACCCTGCGTGGCCCCGAAAGCACTTGTCTTCATGTCATCTATCAATGAAGTAGATTTGCACTGACGTGAATCTTCTTGCTGGAGTGCTAATGACATCTGCATTTGTTACAGTCAAGTGAGTGACCTCACTTTTCTCCATTGCAATTAAACAATACTTCTTGATCACCGACCGATCCATTCCCTTCCTTCCTTCGATTCCATTCTGATTGCAAATGTTGGAACATGACAACGCTGGCGAGACCATAACTGTGCTTTCTTCTGTCAGCAAGCTCCCCACGTTAGATTAACCGTAGTGTGCATGGCAGTAGTGTCTGATTGGATCGCACTGTTGCGCCTACCCTCACCCCATTTTGCAGTCTTGCTAAGCGGGGGATTGATTACAGGAAGCTAATATGAATATACTGTATTTTTTTATATTTACTTTTTATAACTATTACTAAAACTATACCTACCGTATGTTATGAATACAGGCAGTCCCCAGGTTACGAACAAGATAGGGACTGTAGGTTTGTTCTTAAGTTGAATTTGTATGTAAGTTGGAACAGGTAAATGTTTTCTTGTTTTGCATAGCATAGGGAAGGGTTAACCCCCCGTAACGTTTGTGTTGCTGTGTGTGCCCCTGTTCAGAAGATTTCACCTCACTCTCTGTCCCTGTGACAATTGGATTTTGAAAATGTTGGGTTGTCGTTGAAGCGAGGATGGGTGATGAAGCTTCAGTGGAGACACCCTTTTCCCATGATCACTCTTACAGGAGTGAATTCCCCTTCCTAGGGGTGGATTTCCTTTCACTTCCTGTTGTCTCAAGGACAGGAAGTGAGATTAAATCTTTCTAATGAGGATACAGAGAGCAGTAAAAACCTCACAGTGACCCGGAAGAAGAGGTAGGCACCCCTGTAATGTACGTACAGTACTACGGGCCAGACCCAAAAAGGCGGCTACTCCTCGTCAGCACGAGCGCGGTAGCATCACAATTACCCCTGCTGTACAGTAATAGCCTCCGAGCCGTCGTTTTTTAAGGAGGAGTCGGATGTAAGTCGGATGTATGTAACTCGTGGACTGCCTGTATACAACCAGATTCATTGGTTATCTTTTATTATATGCCTAGAGTTCACTTCAGCTTTAAAAAAGCATGTTTGTGTCAACCCCTGTGTACCTAGAGAGTTGTGTACAGCAGCAAGTGGGAGAAGAGGAATTTACATAGTAATATTCAAGAAATACCTTCACTTTTATACTAGTAGCGCTCCATAGGAATACATTGTTCCAAAATTGCTATGGAGTACTTCATAACAACTCGGCTACAGTTTGCACACACTTGCAATTAAGTTTTCCAAATATAACTTCATGTATCTACTTTGCATAGAATCAGCTACAGAAATAGTATCATCATTCTTCATCATGATCATCATGATGTGCTTCATTATAAACTGCGTCCTTCCTAAGAGCAGACACAATACTGATGATGTGTTGTCGCAATACCAATCCTGCTCTGTACGTGAGAAGGTTAGTATATGTCCTCCCGTGACCCAAAAGAGAACTATGGGAAAAAAAGGTTACCCCATAATCTTTTCAATCTCTTAAAATGCATTCAAGTACCTTAACTAATAACAACAATGTATCTTATTTGTGTATCATGTAGTCAAGAACCAGCTGCACTCCTTACCGGAATAGTAGTAAACCTGCCAAGCAGGTGGGTGCTTGTAGTGACCACGGACGGCCCCGTGAACAATGCAGATCTAGAAAGGATTGTCACCAGCACACCAAAAGTTTGCTGAGCCTGATGAATCTGAGCCTGATGAAGGGGTACTGCTGAGACCCCGAAAGCGCTTGTATTGGATGGCGATTTGTCAATAAAGGACTTTTTGCTTCAAAACTTTTGGTGTGCTGGTGACAATCCTTTCTAGATCTTATTTGTGTATCACTCGGCTGTAGATCCTCAAATCATCTCTGAATTGGTGCTGACACTGTCCTTCCTTCTGGAGGGGGGCTACTTTGTTCCCCATGGTCCCTGTGTGTGTTGTAAAGTAGCCATCGCTCCAAGCTCGCTCCAGGGATGGACTACAATCTCAATACAAATTAGTAAACTAAACATGAGATTGTAGTCCATCACGGAAATGAGTTTGGAGCGGTGGCTACTTTACAACACACAGGGACCATGGGGAACAAAAGTAGCCACCCTCCAAAAGGAAGGACAGTGTCAGCACCAATTCAGAGATGATTTGATGATCTACAGCCGAGCGATACACAAATAAGATACATTTTTGTTAAGTGAATTGAATGCATTTTAAAGATTTAAAAGACTATTGGGTAACCTTTTTTTCCCACAGTTCTCTTTAGGGTCATGGGAGGACATATACTAATGTCCTCCCATGACCCAAAACTCAGTATATAGTGGGCTATTGCTTGTTATATGCTGAGTGCGCCACAGCCGGGACCGATCCCAACAATACTGTCAAGATCCACCCCGCTGGCTGATTGACTGCCTATCTAGAAGCAAAGCCAGCTATGCCGTCCCCTCCCCATCTGTCTCTCCAGTCAGCACTGGATGATCAGAGAGGGAAGGGGGGGGGGGAATCCCTGTGGGGAGCAGTAACTGTCAGTCATCGCTCTCAGCAGGGAGATGATTGGGAAGAGAGCGGGTTGCGGTATGTTTTTGCTCATTTTCCGATCAATAGAGCCGTCATGTGACAGATTTAATGTCACACGTCAGCTCTAACTATGAGGATGAGTGTAAATCACTCATCCCATAGTTCTCCTTTAACTCTCGAGTTTAATATCACTGCACCTCATTTGGTGTAGGTGCTTTGCTGAGGAGCTAATGGGGTGAAGTTGCCATCTGTGGGGTTATAGCTGACCACCTCTATGTCAGAATCTCCCCTAAAGGTGATGGTATCACAATGCAGTGGAGCACAGGTTGGAATGGGATAAGCTGGTGTTCTCCACCCCTCTCGGAGCAGGGCCAGGATCGAAGCATGGATGGAAGCAGGCCGCCTCTATCCTGGAGTGCTTTGCATGTTAATTCGCAACCCAGTGCTTCATTATTCATAATAGGACACCTGCTATTACCTTAACTAGATGGAAAAACTTATTTTTTTGTCAATCTCAGTTAGGTTTTACCTTGTTAAGGGAGGAGGAGCTGACTCTTTTTGACTTCATGTCTAATGTAATGTCTTACTCAAACAAATACAAATTAAATGAGGATAAAGATGGATAATTCTGGGTCAGAGAAAGAAACAAATGTACTGGTATATGGGTGATGTCTTTGATAAAGTGGCCTTTCTGTTTTTTTAGGACTTCCCCTTGTTGTCCCTGGAAGGGGTGGTTACTGACCATTCCAATATTTTGGGGTTTTCCATGTTTAATAGTACCCATCCATTCTATCTGGAGTTCTTGAGGAGCCTCAACATGTCCTGGAGAGAGAACTGTGAACTGAACACCTATGTTGGGCCAGCTGTAAGTCACATTACAACTTATATATGGAAATATCTTATTGTTCAGTCAGTTTGATTAATTTTAAATGGCATCTATAGTTTTATATTTTTTTTTATTCATTAGATAAACATATGAAAGCAATCCACGTAATGAAAATCGTATTGATGATTACTATTTTTAAAACCTTATTTCTGTACACAGTCTGTAATTATATATGTATACAGTCTACTGATCTTCCTCAGAATGCAGTTCTGTGGAGTGTGTTCATAAAAAATTTGCAGAGCCATTCCTGCAAAACCTGGTAACCATTCGTTCTGTGCGAACTGAGGCATAAACAAACCTTCTTGGCATATTTTCCTTTCTGGATCGAATGCGGTATGTAATATATAAATGTACAGTATGTTGCAAACTCTCAGATGAGACTTAGGCCAACTCTTTGAGTGTGTCTGTGAAGGTTCTCATTCATCCAGGTCATGGTATATCTGTAAAAAATAAGTCAAGGCAACTGGACCTGCTGTATTTTTCTTGTTGATGTTTCACTGGTTATCCGACCAGCTTTCCCAATTCAGAATTTATTGAGAAAGCTGGTCGGATGACCAGCGAAACGTCTTCAAGAAAAATACAGCAAGTCCAGTTACCTTGACTTATTTTTTACAGATATAACTCTTTGAATGGAAAGTGGCCGTTTGGAAAACAGATACAAAGTTGAATTGTAATTGTCATAAATAAATAATCAATAACATATTTAGAAAGGAATCGTTTTCCTTTTGCATGTTCTTCCTTTCCTTTGCTTTTGCCAGAATTGGAATAACAAAGATGGAATTTATAGGGTTGGTTTGGACAACAAACACTTTCACTGCAAAAACCTTTGGCACACGAGACTCGGTAGTATGAAGGAGCCCCGTGGGAGTGCTGGGATATGACAGCTCCAAAATGACAGCTAAATTAAAAGTTGTTCTCAGCAACTTTTTCCTCTTTTGTTAGTTTGCAAATGACTTCTGTCAGCATTCATCACATTTCACCGGCAACAATCTCATTACCATGCAAATATTACTTTGCACGGCCTTATGTCAAAAAATATTGTTGTAGCTAGGAATGGAGTTCATTTATTTTTTTGACAAATAAATAGGAAAACATTTAAGTGGCAAAACAATTGCTATTTGTCTTTTCTATGCTCTTAATTTTTTATTTTTTTTTGCATTTTAACATTTATTAGCCATCTGAAGCCTTTCCTGGGTCCATGTGTAGCCAAACGGTGCATGTAGGTAGAACTGTTGGTGAGAGAATACCAGGGATCCCAACCTGAAAGAAGCAATTTCAGGGAGGTGCCCTTCTCATTTCAGGGAGGTGCCTTCTGCCCCCCTCCCCCATCTGCACGGGGGGCGGGGGAGAGCACCCCCCCCCCCCTGAAATGATGGCAGATAGCAGAGGAAGCAATAGCTTCTTTGCTATCTGCAAGTTGGTTTGTTTTTAGTATTCTAACAGCTGCTGCCGTCAGAATAATAATTTTAAAAAAATCTGCATAGGAATGCATAGCTAGATTCCTATTGGCTATTTCAGTTTGCAATATCCAATAGCAAGCTGGCTATTGCACCCACCCTCTGCTGCTGTCAATCACTAAAAGAGGACCTGATGGAGAACTTCAAGTCCCCCTCAGCTGATTGACAGCAGCAGTGGGCGGGTGCAATAGCTAATTTGCTATTGGCTATTGCAAAGTGAAATAGCCAATAGGAATGTAGCTATGCATTCCTATGCTGTGTTTTTTTTTTTTCTGACTGACGGTGGCCGGCAGCTCCGATGTTGGAAGAAAAAAAAACAGAGCAGGGAAAGGTTTACTCTGCTAGATTGAGCAGAGTAAACCTTTCCGGGAGAAAATGTTTCTCTACCGGGCGGCCGAGAGCCGCTATCTAATAGCGGGAGACTCCTGGAGAGTCTGGGAGAGTTGGGATGTCAGGAATACTTAAAGTGGAACTTTAAATAGACATTCTATGTTTCTTTTGTGATAGGTTCTGGATGTGCGGTTAGAAGCACCTCTTAAAAAATGGTCATCTCACTCGAAGGTTTTTCCAAGTTGTTTATTTAGAATGCTGAGCACGGATTCATTGCTCACTGCAAACAGGTACGCTGACACTCAGCACTCATCCAGCCCTAATTCAAGCTACAAAGTACTCTTTTCCCTGAATCCACCACTTACTGTTGTTGCTCAAACCTGAAGAAGATGGAGTCTGATTTCCCCTAAATGCGTTGGTCGTATCTGACATTTCCATTTAAATAAACAGCCTAGATGAACCTTCAAGTGAGATGACCACTCCTAACCACACATCCTTGGTTTGAATTATCATCTCTCCCATAGCCAGTAAACCAATTGATGCACAATGATATAGATTGTAACAGCTCCTTCACTGCATTCTATCTACATGTGGTCCTTTAGAGCTCTTTATTAAAAAACAGAAGCAAGCAGAGGCATTACCAGTAACAACCCATCAGAAGGTTATTTTAATGATCAACTTGGAAAACAAAGAGATGGAGTCTAAGTGGTTGCTGTGGATGATACCTCTGCTTTCTTCCAGCCTGGGCAAATATCCTGTTGCAGGTATTGAGGTATTGACCTCATCTATTTACTATGTTTTTATATCAGCACAGTGGGACGGTAATGATTATGGTTATTGGTAAGGACAGCAAAGGCATCTTTTGAATAGTAATTGTTGTACATGGAAGTGGAGTGGGTGGCAGGAGAAAAGACCGGAGATAATAATGATCATTATATTCCAGGAGCAGATAATAAGCACACCGTTTAGTTGTGAATAGAGCTCACTTATTATGTTTCTCTCTGTTTCCCTTAGCTGTCCGCCGCACTCATGTTTGACGCAGTCCACGTGGTAGTCAGTGCGGTGCGAGAGTTAAATCGGAGCCAGGAAATCGGTGTCAAGCAGCTGTCCTGTAGCACATCCCAGATCTGGCAACATGGGACCAGTCTGATGAACTACCTCCGCATGGTAAGAGGCAACATTGAAAGTGGCCACATTTGTATCCTCATTTGCTCTAAAAACCCAATTACTAAAATCTCATAAAAGTGTTAACATGTTAATGTCATTTCAGACTTTAGTCTATTTTTTTTTTTAAACTGCAGCTTTTTACTAAATAATACCTGGTGAAACCTTCCATGAAGGACCTTGTTCAGGTACTTCCAATTACAGGGTGACAACATTTATTTTTGTGTGTAGCTTATAGCTTTATATGTACATAGGGCAGCCCAGAGATTGATTAAGACAGGACAGGAGTCTAGCAAGGTAGCAGCTTTGCTAACTCCCTCATCCCTTTAGTTGACATTGATAATGACTGCAATAAGCAAAGAGAAGTTGCCACATTTGCATTGTTTGTACTGGTATGACTCCATCAGACAACAAATGTCTACAAGTACATCCTTCCTTTTGAAGTGACAGGAAGTGAACAGCTTTGACCAGTTGTGTTCTCCCTCTAATTTACATCATGGGCGTTGTAGCTGGGTCCCCTGAACATTCAGCAGGCCCTAGGATCCTGCCAAGGTTGCCTCTTGAGTAATTCAGTTCTGAGGCAGCCATGCCAATTTTTTTTACATACAAAGGTTCTGCTTTGCATTGCTACACCATGATTGTGCTTTAGTGCTTGTGTAACTGTTACTGCTGTCTGGAATGGTCCTTAAAGTCCCTGAATACATTGCTTCTGTCAAGGGTCAACATACAGTGCAAATTATACTATATACTATTGTTTTGGTTTGTTAAAAATTAGGGAAGGAGACATGTCTGTCCTCGCTCCCATGTTACTGCACTGAGTGTCTGAAGCCAAATTACCAACCTCATGTGGAAGGAAAAGAGTGACTCACATGTTCCCCATGCCCAGACTTACTGGGTAGCATGGGAGCGAAAGCAAGGTGAGGTTAAGCTGCTGGTGCTGCCATTCAAGTGAACTTGTTACATTTGCTTGTACAGATAAAACATGGGTTCACTATAAATGAGCTCCACAGCTTTGGTACTCAAACAGGACCATTGATCAATTCTAAATTTGAAATATATCACATTTTGCCTCCCTCCATTCTTCTTCATTTCTACTTATCAGGTAGAGTACGATGGACTGACTGGACGAGTGGAATTTAACAGCAAAGGCCAGAGGACGAACTACACCTTGCGTATCTTAGAGAAGGCAGGGGATGGTCACCGAGAGGTAAATAATATATCCACATCAGTAAATGACAAGTCTAGGGACAGTCTAAATAACTAAATAACTGGATAACTTTTCACAAAGCCCTAAAAACATGAGGAGAATTTTGCTAGAGCAGCACCTTGCAAAAGCCACCATTGTTATCTACTGAGCCACTATTCTCTTTGACAATAGTACATTTTAATAGCATTTAAACTTAAGCTCCAGCCTTAACATGTTTTTATAGTTTTGTATAGATTAGGAAATGTTCTGGACCGACTTTAAGGTTTTCCAAGCTGTTTAAATCCTCATTGGGGAAATTTCCTTTGACTTTCTCTTTCAAGGGTAGGAAGTGCAGGGAACTCTCCCCAGACAAGACAACAGTAAAAGGATCTAACCCTTCCTCAGTGTATCCAAAACTAGTAAAACAAGCAAGATTTACAACTTAATTTACACTCCAGTCAAACATGAAAATGGGATGTGACCTATTTGCTTAGTGGCTCTAATTTTCCTCCTGACTTTCAACTTATGCTGTCGGCTGCCTTGCTCATTAAACCCATACAGTTATCAGTCTTAAAGTTTTATGAATGGGCATCTGAATGAGTTCTGGGTGCCATCCTCTACAGGCCTAAGAGAGAGAGGTTGCACAATAGTGAACCATGTGATGAGAAGCTGCAGAACTGAAAAACCTGCCCAACTGCATTGGATCATGCAAAACATTAGCAAAGTTTCCTAGATTATAATACCAGTCTATTGACAGATGTTGCTTATTACCTTCTCTCTTCCTTCACAGGTTGGAGTTTGGTACTCAAACCGCACCTTGGCCATGAATGCTACCAGCCTGGACATTAACGTGTCAGACACCCTTGAGAACAAGACTCTGGTGGTCACCACAATTCTGGTGAGTTCTTCTAAGACAAACCTTGTACATTTTATAAACTTGTGATGCCTAGTTTTCAACTCAGCCTGCAGCCTCTGCAACAATCTTTATGCATCATGGCCGGATTCTATATAAATATTTTACCGTCTCTGTAAATTTCCTCTGCTTGTTCTAGATGTTATCTTTTGATTACCAGCAATATAAAGGAAGCTTATGAAATCCCGTCTGACAGGCTAATTTTTCAGTGCATTTATTTTTGAGTTGTTTATCTTTCGTGAGTAATATTTGTTCTTATGTCTCCTTTTCTGGAGCTAGTCACAAAGTTCTGCTTGACTTTTTGATACTGAAAAGATTCTCCATTAAGCAGACTTTGCATCAAAATGCTAGGGTGATGTCACCCGGCCTTCTACTGAGGTAGTGGAAAAGCTGAGGATCCCCAATCTCATGAGAAGATGCTCCTAGACAGAGCTGGAGTGACTTCATGTGAGATTCATCTTTCCCAGTTTTCCCAGGAGAAGGAACAATGATGTCACTGACTTTAACTTTTATCGTATTTTTTTGGGAGACCTTGTCACCAGACAAAACCTTGCAGCAGCAAAGGATAATGAGCATGACATTTTCCCACTTTTTTTCCCATGTTGTGACCCGTGTTACTTTAGTAAGAATCTGACCAGTTCCTGGAAATGTCAATACCTGTCTATGCCAGTGCCTTCTATTCCCTCTGTTCCCTTGCTGCTATGTGGGCAGACAGTAGGAGCCTGCACAGCTACTTGTTAGCAATTGCTAGAATTGCAGGCAAGATCAGTGATTTGTTATCTGTGCACCCTAAAGTCCTTAACTAGAAGTGCCAGTTGGCTCAGAGTCCTTAATGCACAAAAATGTAAACAAAAGCAGAAGTTGGTTGCAGTATGAGCAGAGCAGAGGTGTCAATGCTGGTATCATTCAGCGCTCTGATGTGTGCAAGCTCCTACTATCAGCCTCTCTGCTCTGTCATTAGATAAATGAGAGGCTGTTCAGTGAGCCTCAAACATAAATCAATGATAGCATGGGAATACTATAGAATGTCATTGGAGTGACAGCTCTGAATCTGCCTGGGGCTGCTAATGCAAATCAAAGATGGCAGCAGGCAGCAGAAGGCTCAGGCTTGTTCAATATCATAAGATTATCAATAATTACAAGGGGTTTAATGCTCAAAACCAGTCACTTGACATATAAGCTTATATGATTATAGGATTGTTGTGATAATAATAGTGTGGGGATTTCCATGTGGGGGGGGGGGAAAAATTACATTACAAGACAGGCAGACTTTGCCTTTTTGAAGCAAGATGAACTGCAGCGAAACCTGTTTATTTCACGTGTCAGACAAAATAGGAAGCTGGGTTTTGAACACTTTTTTCCATTACAATGTGTGTTCCTAAAAGAATTCATGATTTTTTTACATTTCAGTATTTTAATTTAATTTTCAATCAAGTGTTTGAGTATTTCACATTTAACACTTGCTGCCAGTAGGGAGAACTGCATCCAAACATTATTGTTTGTGAAATCTATTCTATTGAGTTACCTGCTATACAATTATACATATTTGTTAGCAAAGATGGCAATGTCTTAAAGTATAACCTATCACTTTGCCCATTAGGGGAAAAGATACAGGTTCATCAGATAGCCCACCTCCTTATTTAAGATACTTGGATTCCCATGCCAGACACAGCCTTATAAAATACCTGGTACATTAAGCTATGGGAGGCATGTAAGTGATCTTCTTCCTTATGATGTAGTGTTAAGTGCCTGTATGGCTGACTCCAAAGTGTCAACGATGTCACAGGAGGGAGAGGGTAAGGTCTTTAGCCATGTGTAAGCTTTACTTTGATAGGTTATTTTGACGGGTTCACTACCAGTGGATTAACACAGCCTGCCAGGAAGCCTAAAGTTAGTTCTGGGTTTTCCCATTAGATAGATTATTTATTATTGAAGCATTACATCCACACATCCTTGCTTTCTCTTCCATTTTAGTGAATATAATAAAGTTTTATTGCTTATAACTATATAGATGTATAAATTTAAGTGAAATAAATGTACCAAGCCATTTAAGTATTATAATTTAAAGAGAAGTGATCATCTTTTTAGTGTTTTATATTTAACTACACTCGTGAAACAAATTAGCTTAATGTACAAAATCATATCAATGTGTATCACCTTGTTCCTATGTATACACTGAAATTATATATTAATGGGAGTAATCCTATGGTATTTTCTCAGTACAAATGCAGGTTTGTTTCCCTGCTGTCAATAAATTACTGTAAATCTGCCAGACGGGTTCTCAGACCTTTGCCTAGGTTGGGGGGAGGTCAGTGATTTCTCTTTTTGTGGATTTTCAAGGCAAGGTCCCAATGATATTGACATTGACTATGTGACTGGGACCCCCTACTTGTATACATGGAGAAGTCCTCCCTTCATCAGCCCACTGTAAACAGCTATGAAATCCCTGTTCCTCCTGTGGCTGATATTTTGGGGGCCCTGGAGTCCGAGGGGTGAATTGTTGTGTTTTCTGTGGAGAACCCTTTAACCCTAACTCAGTCATTATTTCAGTTAGAGTTGGGAAGAGTTAAATTTGCATCAGGTTATTAGTTCTCTGTGACCCCATTGGGGAGATTTTGCCTCACTTGCTATCCCTGTGACACCAGGGAAAGAAATGGGGGTTGTTCTAGGGACTGGAAGGCATTGAAAACATTATACAAATGATTCAGCTATTCTAAAGTCTCCCGTTTGTACCTAAATGTTTTTTTTTATCTGTGCCCTGTTGGAAAGATTCCATATCACTGTCCAGGCAAGAAGTAAAGAGAAATTTGCTCAGTAAAAACACAGCCAGCAATGAAAATCAGAGGCTCTAACCAATTTCCTACTCTATCCAAGTTTTGGCTGGAGTTGGGCTTTAACCACCACAGTCACACTCAATAATCTACTCCTTGACTTGTCATTGATCCCATTGCTGTCATATCCCTGTTGACCCAAAGGTAAACGTGTGGTTCATTTCTTGGAATCCCGTCCACCTCCTCCTCACTGATCTCCCACTGTCTTTCCCCAGGAGAACCCATACATGATGCGTAAGCCGAATTTCCGCTCCTTATCCGGCAATGACCAGTACGAGGGCTTCTGTGCTGAGATGTTGATGGAGTTGGCTGCACTTCTAAGATTCAACTATAGGATAAAACTTGTGGAGGATGGACTGTATGGAGCCCCAGAGCCCAATGGATCTTGGACAGGGATGGTGGGAGAGCTGATAAACCGGGTAGGTGGTGGCACCTGGTTCGTATTTGGTCGTTGTATCTTGTATTTGTGCTTCATGCAATTTCTAGTTGTATTTGAAGTGTGAAGACTTTGAAGTATCTTCACAGAATGTAAAAGAGACTTGGCCTGTAAGGTCAAGGGCCTGAAGTATAACTGCTTAAAAAAAATGACACCAGGCTAAAATATAAAGTTTCTGCTTAGTTTGCTTATTTATTCCTTCAACAGCCATAAAATTATGTTCATTGAGCCAGTGTGTGATGTCCAAAATGCTAAGATGTCACCCACAGCTAAAAATCAGTCTTTCAGTGGGATTGCCTGCTCTGTAGGCTTGTAGGTGGGAGGGGGAGGTCCTTATATGAGTTTAAAAGGGAGTGAGAGCCCAGAGTGAGCTTCACCATTGTAGTGAATAGTGTTGAATAGCAGTCCAATGAGCAATCAGAGGGCTGGAAATGGATGTGAAGTCTTCAGTACAACAAGCCATGAAAATTAGCAACACCCCCCTTATGCAATACAACTTATAGCACAGCAGGGGCAGCTGGATTACAATATAAGGTGCATTAAATCACAAATGCTCTGGCGGCAAATCCTGTTTCTGTGTGTGTTTTAAATGAAAGCAGTAATGATTTCTAAAGTGCAGCTGCTCACAGGAACCTATGAGATATCACCTTTCATCAGCTTAAAGTGATATTAAAGCCTATTTTTTTTTCTCCTTTGCTGGAGGCTGTTGCTTTTTTTCATTAAAAGTTTTTAATTGCTTGTTTAATAGTGGGTCCCACGCAGCGCTCTTCCCCCCTGCCGCCTGCATGGGTGCCACCATCGTTCTAATGGAGACACCCGTGCGCGCTCGTGCCCGCTCTTTTCCGCAGTGGCTTTGTGCATCCATAGACACACACAGCCCTGTGACAGGCCACGCCCCTTCCCTCTTTGATTGATGGCAGAAGGAGCCTATGGCTCCTCTGCCATCAGTATCCTCCCCCCGAAACTCGGAAGTTCAGGGAACAGAGGATAGCTTCGGGACCGGCGGCGGGGACGAGCGCAGCTGACAGGTAAGTGTGGAGGGATCTGGGGGGGACTGAGGCAGAAAAAAGGTGCTGGGCTGTTTCTACCCTAATGCAGAGAATGCATTAAGGTAAAAAACGCCCAGACCTTAATACTAATTTAAAGCTGTCCAATGTATGAGTAATATATTTGATTGGCTGCACTTGATTTCTGCCCCAATCATGATTCTGATTATCAAATAAACAGTGGGCTGTTAGTGGTGTTGATCTGTGAACTGACAAGTGAAGAAAAAGAAACAAAAAACTATTGAAAGGGGAACAGTTACTGTATATCTTTACCTATGGCTATATTGTATTTGCTTGTTCTGGCTAGCCAGATTGAGTGCTGGGGAATTTTAATATAAAATGCTGCTCAATTCATAGGGGAAAGATGTGGGACAGACTTATCCCCTTTGGCTATTCACCTTTGGATGTGTTACCTTGTCTTCTGTGAGTAGAGGTCTTGCCCCCTGAAGTGGCCATAGGTTGAATGGACAAGCAGGTTCTGATGGCTGGGTCGCAGTTAGGATTTCCAACATCAGTGCATCATCCCAATAGCAGCGAGTCCCAACACAACATTACTGCAGCAATCAAGGCCTGTAAATTAGAGTACTCAGATCCTGGGGTGTTCTATTACGTTAGGACATACGGTACCATTTTGCATCTGCATGTAGCTCAGAAGGAATAACACTCATTCCCCTATGACCTATGACTGACTGAAAAATGAGTAGTACAAGTAGACTCTTTGGTGCCTCCTATGTGGACTGACCTCACCCCCTCTGCTAATTTGGCAGACACCAGGGCTGTCCCTTTAATAGGGCACCTCTTTGGATCATGTGGGGGGGCGGCTGTGTGTCACTGGTTGCCAGGAGCTGGGCAGGACACTGAGCCTGGTGGGGAGACGCAGAGCCTGCAGAGAGCAGCGTCACTCCACCACCACCCACCCCAGGCTAAGGCTTTATATTCAAATCTTCAATCGTGAACATTTGTCTACTACTGACCACTGAATGAAGAAAATATCTGTAATATAAACTTGCATCTATATGTTAATGTCACATTAAGATACTTACATTTGAAAAAATACATTTAAGGATTTGTAAATGAATACAGAGCTGCATTAATTTGTATCTTCAACTATAAGGTCCCATTTAAAAAAAAGATTATTTATGTTTGAATAGTAATGTTTAAGGCACTGGAACCTTTGTTGTATTATTATTGGTATTTTTATGTAGCGACGACAATTTATGCAGCGCTTTACATAGTTGTGCCCCCAAAGGAGCTGACACTGTAAGGTCCCTGTTTCACATGCAAACAGGGCCAATTTTAGACAGGAGCCAATGAACCTTCCAGCATGTCTTTGTAGTGTGGGAGGAAACCAGAGTACCTGGAGGAAGCCCATGCAAGCACAGGGAGAACATGCAAACTTCTTGCAGATAGTGTCCAGACCAGGATTTGAACCATGGACCCTCACTGCTGCAAGGCTACTACATTACTGTGCTGGCTTACCACTACTCCACTGTGCTGCCTTCTTGTAAGGCCCCTGTCCAAGTATATGTGTATATAACTGTGTTCAAAAGGATGATGATTAATTTATAGCAGCCAATCAGGTTTTACCTTTCTGCAGTCTAGTGACAGACTAATTATGATTGTTTGTTAAGGGTAAATGCACTTTTTATATCGCTGTTTGCCTTAAAGGTCATTTCCATCTGACTTCAGGCCCTTTAATTTGCCATTACACTCTAGCTATCCTAATGTGTTGGCAGCCATTCGATGTTCGCGTGTTTAATCATGCAGTCAGTGATATGTGCATAAGGTCGGTAATTATTGATGATAACGAGCAGAGATTACATGAAGCTGTTCAGGCGGTGGAAATATTACTGGCTGCGCTCGTGAGAATTATATATCCAGTATGTCTGTGCCAGTGTATCAGATTCCTTTCTGTGGGGAGACAGCAAACCCGGGGGAGCCTTAGGTGAGATATTAGAGGTTAATAGGGTCAGAAATACAATTCGTAAAAGTCTTGGAGTTTTGGTTGGGTGGGAGCTTTGTCAGCAAGTGGGAGGAATTGACAACAGTGAGGTGTGGTTAGGGCAGACCAGGCCTAGGTCAAGCTGATTAGTCCAAAATTTGTACAATTTGAAATGGTACTGGCAGAGGGCCTACAAAAGCACAAACGAACTAACCTGTAGGGAAATCATCTTTGTACATACCTGTCCATCGGCCCATTTGCTAAAACTTCATGCTGTGGCAGGGATCCTGGCACTGATCGGATTTCGCGTTTCCAGGTGTGTAGAATAGCATATCTGGACACCAAGGTTCCTCCCGATCACTCCTATGTCACTTTTATGTCCTGTGGTGACTAGGAGTCAATAAGAGGAACCACAGGAGGAATCACAGGGGTAAAAGAGGGACCAACATCTTGCTGAGACCCACCCCTGAAGAGTGGAGGCTGTTGTTGCTGCAAATGAAGGCCAACTCCATACTAATGCCTATGGTTTTGCAATGGGATGTCCAACAAGCTTATATACTGTAGGTGTGATGGTCAAGTGTCCATAGGAATTTGGCTATATAGTGAATTTCTTACTGTAAAAAATATAGAGATTTGTAGGTTTACCATCCGAGTGAGCACTCAGTGGCTTGGTGCAGTTGAACTCCAAAGAAATTCTTATATGAAGATAACAAGTTAAGAAAATTGTAAACTGCAGGGAGATAAGAGGATCAGAGGTTACAAATAATAATAATTTTGAAATAAACACACTTCTAAGCAAGGCAATATATTCAGAGAACTTAAAGTACATATAGGAAAATGCATCAGCTGTAATGTAAATAATTAAAGGGTTTGTACTCCAGTGGAAATGTCAATACAATGCAAATCTGCAAGGTTACAGCTAAACAGGAAATAAATTATATTCTCAGTATATAGTTTGAATCATTATTGTAACAATTACTTGACAAAATCTTTGATGTGACTTTCAAATTTTTCCATTTGTATTTTGCCATATTTAAAGTGACATTAAAGTCAAATTTTTTCCCCTCCCCCCAATCTTAAACAAAACACTTACCTTAAATGATGTCTCTTAATCCGATCTTCCTCTTCTTTCCTGTCCTTTTCAGCCATCTCTCCAGCGCTGACTCCTCTGTCCTTGCTGGCACTTCCTGTCCCACGGTGTCTGCATGCGGATGCACGCGTCCATAGACTTACCTTGCGTCTCTCCTCGTCTCCTGGCTGAAAATCCGAACTGCGCATGCGCCTGCCCCAAGATGCTTTGCGGCCGACCGAGCAGTTTCGGATTTTCGGACGGGAGCACGCGGCGAAGACAGGGTAAGTTTAAACCGCTTTTAGATCTATTTTATTTTTACTTTTTGCATATATATTGCTTGCTAGCATTAGATATATGCAAAAAAAGGAAATCGATGGCTAACATGGTACAATACTCTAGCACTGCCATATCTACATACAAGGAGCTCACAATTTGTACACATTTTGGATAAATTTAGGAAAGGTAATACACTAAAAGTTAGCCAAAAGTTTGTGGCGAACTACTAGACCATCACACCTATATGATCCTGTTGGACATCTCATTCTAAAACCATGGTCATTATTATGGAGTTGGCCCTTACTTTGTGACAACCTCCACTCTTCTGGGAAGAATTTCCACAAGGTTTGAGTGTGTAAGTGGGAATTTGTCCTTTCTAGACATGTGCAATTCGCTTCATTCCGAATCAAAATTCGTACGAATTTTCCGAAATTTGGACATTCGGACACATACGAATTTCCAAATCCCAATGCATCCGAATGTGTCCAAATTTCCGTTTGCGAATTTCGGATCCTGTCCAAATTTCGTTCAAAAATTAAACTGAATCAGACATGTGATTCTGGCCAATCACATGTATTTTTCGGTTTAATGGATCTGAATGGGTCTGAATACATTTTTTCGTTATGGGAGCCATATACACATATATA